CCGCGCTGCACCGCCGGGTGGCGGCGCTGGAGCAGGAGCGCGAGTTGCTGCGCCACGCGGGGACGCCGGGCGCCCTGGCAGCCTGGGCCGAGCCGCACCTGGAGCGCCTGCTGCGGGAGGTGAGGCGCGCGATCGCCGGCCGGGGGATGCCCGGCTGGACGAGGGTGTGTTGGGCAGGGGGACTGTCACCCAGACGAGGGGTGTCTCATCCGGGAGGACTGCGCGGGGCGGTCTCCCCGGGGTTGGGTATCGCTGCCCGGCTCCTGTGCTAGGACTTATATATCTGCAGTACAAACGACCCGAAGGGGCCGTTTACCGGAGAAGCAGGGGTAAGTGAAGACCGTGGACTTCGGAGTAACAGACCGGATAGCAAACTGAGCTGTGCGCTCAAGCCCGCCGCCTCTGAGCTGTTCTGAGCTCCTAGGATACGGATGAGGCTCGTGCATGACGAAGCCGGGTGACCGTCCTTCCAATGGCCTGAACAGCCTGGACCCAGCAGGGCTCGATCAGCCCTCCGCGCCCAGGAAGGTTTATTTGGAAGGAGCTGGGTCCTAGGTGAGCCCTGCTCGCTAGCTGCTGGGGCTGAGCACGCACACCGTGCAAGGGCGCATCTGCACCGTGGGGACGCAGCACCTCAGAGCTGCCTCCTCCTGTGCATCGGAATCCTGATTCCATCACTTGTTCTTAGCATCTTCGGTTTTCTAAAACTGCTGTTGTGAGCCGGGCACAGTGGCCCACGTCCCAGAAGTTGGGAGGCTGAGACAGAATTGGCGGGAGTTCGAGGCCAGCTTGAACTATATAGTTTGAGTTCCGGGTCCAGCCTGGACTACAGAGTGAGACTCTTAAATAGAAAAACAAACAAAAAAGGATGACTGCTGTGTGCATGGACGTCTAAGCTTCCCTCCGATGTTTGTCAGCCTGCAGCAGGCCTCTTGCCTGTAGAACAGGGAAAGCAGCGCACTGGCCAGAGCTTCCCTTGGCTCTGACTCCCTTGCTGGAGTGGTCATCCTCCTCCTGGGGAAGGTGGCTGCCTCAGATCCAAAGAGACTGGGGGAGGGAGGCATCCCAAGCGCTGTAGGAAATGAGCCATGCTTCTTGGTGAAGCTGAGGGAGGGCGCGGGTGTCTCCATTCATTCCCCGAATTGTGGCCCGCTGTGATCTTTGTTAATCTAATCAGCTGTGCGGAGCTGGGGGTGTGGGTCAGTCGTAAAAGTGATTAGAGGGCGTGCTTAGCATCGGCCAGGCCCTGGCTTGGTCCCCTAGTACTGTTGCATATACAGAGCTGTGTATGCACGGTGGAGGGACTTGGCGACTCAAAGGGAACAGAGCAAGACTGGATCGCACCTCCCTGCCCACCGCACCTCCCCACCACACCTATTTCTCTCTCTCTCTCTCTCTCTCTCTCTCTCTCTCTCTCTCTCTCTCTCTCTCTCTCTCTGTCTTTTTTTGAGACAGGGTCTCCCTGTAGCCCCAGCTGTCCTGGAACTCACTATGTTGACCACGCAGGCCTTGAACTCACAGAGATCTGCCTGCCTCTGCCTCCCGAGTGCTGGGATTAAAGGCAAGCGCCAACATGCCCGGCCCACACCTATTTCTTAACCGCTTTAATTTAAGCCAACTTTACATCTCTTTGACTTGGTTCTAGACAAAATTGCTCCTTCTTGAGTTCTTTTGTCTTTTCCCTCTTGAAAATGCCTGCAGAGGGCAGAAGTCTCCCCCAGGCCCTGCTGGCAACTTCTGGTGATGGTTTCATAATTACCACCTATTATCTTTTGGCAAATCCCTAGAGACTAGGGTGCTGAACTAATTTATGGCAGGCCAGTTAAATTTCTACCTGTGAGTATTCCAACTGCCCTGTTCTTCCTAATGAGAGGTTCCTGTCATGTAGGAAAAATAAACTGTAAGCTGTGACCCGATAAACCAGAAATCCCTGCAAGATCTTTGTACAAGGAATTCAGACTGTGTCTGTACTAACAGGACTGGAGTCTTGGGGACACAGCCACTTCTGGGAAGTGTGATTCCTTGGGGGACAGAACCCAGGGCCTCACACAAGCTAGGCCAGCCCTCTACCGTTGAGCAGGGGCTCCAGCCCAAGGGTTGACTCCCTCATCTCTTCTTGCTCTTCCTCCTGTCATTTTCCCTCCTCCTTTCTCTTCTTCCTCTACCTCCTACTTCCTCTTCCTCCTCTTCCTCTCTTTCTCCTATTTCTCTCCTCCTCCTTTTCCTCCGACAGAACCCAGGGCCTCACACAAGCTAGGCCAGCCCTCTACCGTTGAGCAGGGGCTCCAGCCCAAGGGTTGACTCCCTCATCTCTTCTTGCTCTTCCTCCTGTCATTTTCCCTCCTCCTTTCTCTTCTTCCTCTACCTCCTACTTCCTCTTCCTCCTCTTCCTCTCTTTCTCCTATTTCTCTCCTCCTCCTTTTCCTCCTCCTCCCTCTCTTCTTCCCTCCCCTTTTCCTCCCCCTCCTCCTCTTCCCCCCTTC